GGTCTGTAAAACTACTGGGAGTTTGTATTCTTCGCTCGACCAAAGCTTCTTACGCTCGAGCGACAGTCTTTTGTCTGTAAAACTACTGGGAGTTCGTATTCTACGTTCGACCTAGGTTTCTTACGCTCGAGCAGTGCAACTTGTTGTGTCTAGTCGCTCAAGCAACACATCTTGCGCTCGAGTGAACTGTGCGTATATCAATTCGTAAAAACACTTTTCTGAGTCACTTTTTCACCCCTCTCTCTCTAAACATTTCAAAACCCTAATATATCTCACTGCCTCTCTCTCTCTCTCTCATACTCATTTATTACCCTCAAATACGCCTAAATCCGTCGATCTTTTACCCGTGTGCCTTTGTTAAAAACGTAGAGTTTGTCAAGAGCTTCATTCTAATCGGAGCAAAGTCGGTTTTCGATGTCTTTGGGCTTCCTACACTATCTCTCTTTTTTTCTAAAACTTGAGGTAGGGATTCTTCGCACTTTCTATGAGTTTTAATTTAGTTATTTGTGATTTCTAAACAATATTGTGATTTTGGGAATTTTTGAAACAAATCTAGGGTTTTGGTTTTAAAAAAAAAATCAAAAGAGTGATTTCTTTAAAAAAATAGATTCTTGGAAATGATTTTGATGTTGGAAATAATGTTGAGTTTGGTGAAAATGGTTGATTTTGATACTTGGGGTTGATTTTGGAAAGAAAAAGGAATTTCACTCTAACTGCCTCAAATGTTGATTTTGTATAAATGATGAAATTGATGTTGAAATTATTGAAATGGATTGATATTGATGAGGATGCTAGAGTTGAATATGTATTATCACTCACCTTTTGAAATTTGTAAAGTTTATCTTTATAGAATATTAATTATCTATTTAGAAATATCTATTTTGGGTTATTGGCGGAGAATAGCTCTGTAGAAATTGCATGTGAATTAGGAGAATTGAAACTATTTTTTCTCATTCATTTGCATTGAGCACTATCTCACACTTATATATTGGAAATGTTACTGTTTTGAGAAAATGGGTGAATCTGGGAAAGAGTTATTGTTACTTATTATTACTTCAAATAAGTTGGCCTGTATGTCCAAGGTGAAAGTCCTGAAAACCGCGCGTATACATTTATGCCAATCCCGTAAATGAAATTTCTGTGAAATAGCAATAGTAGTGCTTGTATAGCCTACGTTTACATGGGTCTCGGTTTACGGTTTCCTCGGGACAAAATTTTCAGGAAAAGTTGTATTGTTTTAAAGTTCCCAGAGTGTGATTTACTACCCTATTTTCTATTGTAAAGGAAACCTATTTTCTATTGTAAAGCAAATGATTTATGAACCATGATATTAACTTGGCATTGCATGGTTTTGGAAAGAGATGTAAAATGTTTTGGCACAAGCATTGCATATGCATTCACCTTATAGCTTTGTTAAGATTCATATACTGTATTGGATTATTTCTATTGAACTTTGGCTCACCCTATGTAGGAAAAACATTTCAAATGCTGATGATATGCCTCCACCAAGGCAATAGCTTGGGAAGACTTAAAGCGAAAGCTTCTTTTGTGTATTTATTGTATTTATTTTTGTACAAACCAAGGGCTTTAACTATGTTGGACTTACATCCACTTTTGTTATAACCAAGTATCGTCTTGGAAAGATGTAAGCCTTTAGGTCATTTCTTATTTGTCTAACTTTTATCTTGTCTTTCTATTATATCACTCTTTTGTAAAGCTTAATTGTAAATCAATGAAAGATAACTTCTTTATCATTATGAGCATGTGTTGATATTGAGTATGGGTAATAGTAATTATTTTGGGGCGTTACAAGCCTACTATTTCAGGAGTCGGCAAATGTGAAAATATTTTCAATAAATAAATTTGTATATGTATGTATGGTTTTATGGTTGTTGCTTGGGACGTCATAACGTATTTACCACCCTATTGTTATAGATGAGATTTTAAACAGAATCATGCACTGAGCATTATAAATTTTAGAAGAGAAAAACATATATTTTATCTTAACACGTGTATAGAATGATTATATGCATCTCAATCATTTATATACCCTATTAATAGTGTTTCTTACTGGGCATTAGCTCACCCCAAACTAACAAACTTTTAGGAACTGATGGTGTGACTCCGCTCAAGTGATGACACGGTGAAGACTTTTGCATGGAGCATGTGGGCTCAATGATTGTTGTGTATTGAAGCTCCGAAGCTATGTTGTGTTTTGGGACTGATGTCTGTCCTTTTGTGTAATCAAGGGAATGCCCTTGAAGACTTGTTCACCGCTAGGGCATACTTATTTGATTTCTCTCTAACTTCTTGAACTATGATATGTATTATGAACATAATATGTACTGTTATGGGATTAGTTCAATGAGGAAGAGAATATTCGAGTAACAAACAATGTTTCATATTAATACTTTCTTGTAATAAATTGGGGAATGCTTAAATTTTTTAAATTATAAAATGGATTGAAATTTTGGGGGCATTACAATACATATGTTGAAAACAACGTAAATTGTTTGGAAAAAATCAAACCATGCTATATCGAGAGCCACAGTTAGATTGTATAAATCTGAAAATGAAACCAAATTTGATCGAGATTTGTGTTGGATATAATTTCCTTAACGCTGTATTTCATTTGGGGATTTAAGAAGGGATTTGGAAAAGAAAAAGGTAGGTGAAATATGAATAAAATATACATATATTTCACCTAATTTCACACATTTTTTTCATTTCCCTTTCTAAATCCCTTCCCAAATCCTCCATCAAACACAACGTAAGACAAATTCGTCTCCCGCTATAGTGTTCACAAGATTTTATCGTCTCTCAAGATACAACGATCGAACCTTGCAAACCAGCACTACCATTGCAAGTCTAGCGAACCTTACTGTGCAGAATTCTCTTTTACAGAAGAAATACAGATGCCAAAGAAAAGAAAAACTCCAAATGAATTTGATGCTTAATGAATGCAATGGGGGCCTGTTTATATAGGAAAATTGGTGGCTTTTCGAATGGTTTGTGATGACTTTTCGATGAAGTGACACAACTCTTACATTGAATATGTGCAATTGAACAGACACGATTTTGTATCGAATTCGATTCAATTTTGACCCCCCAAAAAAAATTTATTTAAATAAAAATCAAATTTTAAATTCAATAATTTTTGTCTTAAAACCATACTCAAATGGTACACTTTGGAGTCAATTTCTCATTTACCTATTAATGGTTTCCAAACCATTTTTCCCACAGATAGGAGGATTGAGAGAAGAAGGAACCGTCACGTGCTAAGAATCCAAAAATTCATGCAAAAAATCGAGAGAGAAATGCTCAAATTCCTCTTCCTAAATGTTAAAATTCAAAATTTACACTTCGAAAGTATTTTTACATCTCGCTAAGCGGATGCCAAAAATTACTAGAGAGAAGTTCTCTACCACTCCCTTGCTGGTTTAGGATTTAGACGAGGAACGTACATCTCTTTTATAATCTCATATGTGTATGTATATACATCGTTTATGTGTTTTCCTAATCAGAAGAAGAAGATATTGTCTTAAAAGCTTTAGTTGGATATTATCAAAAAATTAAACTTTGATTATATGAGTTTAACTAATCAATTTAAATATTAGAAATTTTCTCCCTCAATAATATTTCCATAACATTTTCTATGTTCTTTTGCTTTTGTTTTGTTGCTTATTGTGTCCAACTCTTGAAAAGCAAAGAAAACTACTAATTAGCCGAGGTAAGAGTGATCAAGCTTTTTAAGCACAAGGCATCTCCAATAAGCTTTTTAAAAATCAGCAATGGTTGAGAGTCACAATTTTTGTGGCTCAAATGGCTCGAAATTGTCAAAACGACGTCGTTTTGAATATAAAACAATTTCGAAATTGCCAAAACGACGTCGTTTTGACAATTTCGAGCCATTTGACCACAAAAATTGTGGCCCTCAAACATTTTTCTTTAAAAATTCATTACCATCAGAAATTGTGACATCAAATTAACACAATTTTTCCTCTCCAAAGCTTTTGTTAACATTGTAGTTCACTAGTACAGAATCCTGTGATGACACAATTGGCAGAGACATTGACACTATACTTTTTTCTTTTTTCTTTTTTCTTTTGTGGTTAATTTTTAATCATTTTATCTATATATACATTTAAGTGAACACCACCCTTATCTAACATGTACTTTAACACACTTCAATTATAATTGGATAAATTACACTTTATACCCTTACATTTTACACAAAATCTCACTTTAATCTCTACACATCAAATTGTAACACTTAACCTCCTGCACTTTTGATCAAGTGTCACATTGACCCTTTTGTTAATAGTGAGGCTACTAGAAGTTATCCTCTAAGGAGCTAAGTGTCACAATTTTGATGTGTCGGGACTAAAGTGAAATTTTGTGTAAAATATAGGGGTGCAAAGTCTGATTTATCCTCGTATGTTTTTCATATGACTAACATCTGTTAACAATGAGGCTAACAGAAGAGTCAAAATAACACTTGACCAAAAGTGTAAGGAATTAAATGTCACAATTTAATGAGTAGGGCCAAAGTAGAATTTGATGTAAAGTGCAAGGGTGTAAAGTGTAATTTACCCATTATAATTATACCATTGTCACTCACTCTCTTTAAACTAACAAACACTTTATAACATACAAAATTACATCTCATTTTTATAATTTTTTAACTATGTAACACAATTTCACAAACAAATTTAGCCATTCCATGGGAGATTCTCAAACTACCCTTCTCTCCCCTATAACCAAAATTTAGTTCATTTATGGTATGCTTCTCTTATACCTAAAAATGGTGACAACAAAAGAAATTCAAGTTACCCAAACAAACCTCTTTGCTTCTTTCAGTACCTAGATCTTGGCTCATGCTAACACACAAAAGTTCAATCAGATTGTTTACCTGCTCAAGTAAAATTGGAGCATGAATTAAAATAAATCAAATAAAAATACAAAAGACTTCAACAGCAGCAACGGGAGTACTTTAGGAGTTGCCACTCAAAAGGTTAAAATGCTTTTAAACAATAATTCACAAGTAAAAAGATTGAACAAAATATAGCCTTTCAAAATAAAATCTTAAAAACAATAATGTTTCAAAGATTGGCCTCAAAGTAGCCGGTGACTATGATTAGCAAAACTACCATTGTCCTAAACAAATTTGTTTGCCAGGGATCTGCCTTTTTGATACATATTTAAGAAATCACATGAATGAACTTTATACCAGACTAGGCACTGAAAATTTGTAAGAATAGTGATTGATTTCAATTTCTCAGAGCATTATCCAACCAAAGAATCTGTCTGTCTGCAATTGTCGTTTGGGTGCCACAAATCATAACGCTGCCATCACTGTTCGTCTTGCAGCATCACGCTTCACCTCTGCAGCTTTGCCACTGCCTCGGAAGTACATGTAAACTTGCTGCATATATTGGGAAAAAATAAAATTAAGTTCAAGAAGGGAACAAAATGAGTGCTAGGAAGGAGAAGAAATTGAAATCAAATTAACAAACCTGGATAACCCAGATGCTTATCACTGACTCCAGGCAAAAAAATCCAAATCCAATAAAGTAGAAAATCTGCAATTAACTAAATCATTAGATAATCAAGGTCTCTCTCTCTCTCTCTCTCTCTCTCTCTCTCTCTCTCCAGTTAAAAACGAGAATAAATGCATAAGATTTCTACTTAGCTTAAATATAAATAGAATAAGAATGCCAATTTTCAGCCGTTAAACTCGTTCGTTGATCTTAAACTCACCCCAACCAAAACATGATTACCCAGAACATCTATTGCTGGCAAGATTCCCCTGTCACACATTTGGATCATATGCACGTCAGTTGTAGAATACAAAATAAACACCAACTTACAATACATACTTCAAAAGCAATGGATTTATCAAATTCAAAGTGGATTCAGCCCCACCAAAAGCAGTCTCTAGGTGGCTCGATTTGTGATGCAGGAAAATGTGATGGTTATGATTTCCCATGGATTTACCCATGCCGTACGCAAATGTATTTGCCGTACCCGACATGTATTCGGTATACCTGGTACGCGTACCGCCGTACCGGTACTCGTGCGACACCATTTTTGGAGTACCCGTGCTTCGTAGTATACCAGCATGTGATTCAGGTCCAATCTCAGTCCCTTGTTAGCCATTAATATCCAACAAATTTTAAGAGCAATGTATGTGATGAATGCAAGTGATCAAAATTCATTTGCCAAGGAGAGACTAGTGAGCCACCACAAATCAGAGAGAAGTGCACTGTTTCTGATTTTTTGGGGGGCAAACAATTACAAAAGAACTCAACAGAGTGGTAAAATTCTAACTCCAAAAGTTTTATATCAATAATTGAGGTTGTTATGAATTCACATGTTTCCCCATCCATGTTTGCATATTGTCATCATAAGTATAGAGTTATCCACGCTAAAACACTAATTCCTTTTTAGCCAATAATATTCTTCATTGTTCCCAATAGAAACAACTAGAAATAACTGAGAGAATTTTGAGAAGGTATACACCACAAAAATCTCTGAAACAAAACTTACGTGAGAGATTTCCCCTTAAAAATAATTGGAGGGGCAACTGCAGCAAAGACACAGAAGGCAATGTGCAACTGCATGGATAAGAAAAAATAACAGAAATGAGGCTTCCAGAAAACTTTCAACGTAGAAAGCAAATTGAGCAACAGGAAGCAAAATCTTACCGCGTAAGACAAGAAAAACCACCCAAACTTCAAAGCACTATCAGTCCTGTGAAGAGTTAACAAACAATTATATAAAAGAGCATTTCGGAGTAGATCCCAATTTTGAAGGACAATAATTTACCAAAAATGTAAATAGTGGCCCAAATATCAAATCTAGGTGACAGACGTTACTTGTACAATTATTCGTCATCCTATTCTTACCCTGGAAGGTATACGAGAGGTGAAGCAAATAAAAGGACGCCACAGGTCCATAGCCTACTATGAAGCACGGGTACGGGTACAGATACGGGTACGGATACATCGATACGGTAAAATTTTAAAAAAAAATTAGGATATGGGTACGTCTTGGTACGCTTGTAAAAAAATAAAAAATAATTTAAATAATGCAAAAATTAATTAAATAGTTTAATTTGTTAAGATCCAATCTATAATTAACATTTAATGCCAAAAGTAAAGGTATAAAGCAAAATTAAATGTCAATATATTAAATAACTTACAAACCATAATTTAATTTTAAAATCATGCTAAGCATAAATCAAAAAATAAAAATAAAAAGTCTAGTGAAAGAAGTTGTATCTCTGTAATAGAAAAAAATATTGTTTCAACTGAAGTACGGTACGGCTTCGGTATATATTAGGTACATCTAGGTACGCCAAACATTAAGGAAAAAAAAAATTGAGTACGTGTTTTGTGTATCCGGTATGTATGCAGAAGTACCATACTACCATATGCCGATAAGTACTCAGTACGGATACGGCATAGTTTTCGAAGTACCCATGCTTCATAGATAGCCTAAAAAGGATTTTAATTAAAGAGTCCTACAAAAAGATCCCAACTAAGAAGCATGGACACCAAACACAGTGATTTTGAAAAAATATATGGACACAGCAGAGATACGACAAAAATTATATATATATATTTGCCACGTATATGAATATAACTGTAGGACACATGAGAGGTATCAATTTATATGTGGATGTGTTTTTTTTTTCCTTCACTTTCCTCCCTCTTTATTTTCATTTACTTTCGCCAAATCATCTTTCTAAACTTATGAAAAAAAAGAAACTCACTAAGGTATCCTGAGGTGTATCCAAACACAATTTCCATTAAGTGTCCCCATAGTCCTACAAAAAAATAATAATTAAAAAATTGGCGCATCACATGGCATGTCCGACACTTGGACACAGGTGTCCCCTGCATGTCGGTGTCCCATATATGTCTAACACGGACACAACACCCATTTTGAAGTGTCGGTGTTTCATGGACCTAATCTTTCAAACATTCATTGACATGTCAACAAATCAAGGCTCGAATAAAAATTATTATTTATGCTCTTAAGGAACACAATCATCCTCACAATTATTGACATACCAAACGTATTTTCAGTATTTGACCAGCACATCAAAACATCTACCAATTTTAGCATAAAAATTTTCTTAAAGTTGAATTTTCTGTTTCTGACCCTCATCAATATAAACTTCACTCTCAAGCCTTTGGTTACTCGCTAATCAACTTCAGCATTATCAATGCTGGTCCATTACGAGCACATTCTTCTCTGTATCTTTTTAGTTTCAGTTACAGCAGGGCTTTCATTTAATAACTACATTTTGCTGGTTTCAGGTTGCAAAACTAAGAAAATTTCATTTTTACTCCTATACTTTGCCTCGATTTTCAATTACACCCTCAGACTGCGACTAATTTCAATTTTATCCCCAAAGTTTTTGAAATCATATCAATTTTGCCTTTGCCGTCACATTTGAAATGAAAAAAGTTAAAAAAATTACATTTTTGCCCCAAATTTCAGAAGAAAGATAAAAACCCACCCTCCTACCACCACCACTTCAAGCCCTTGTGTCTTCTTCATCATAACTCCGTTTCACCTCATTTTTACGTGGTTGGATTCATCTTATAGCCTAGTTTTCGTGTCACCTCTCACATGTCTCATTCTTCTTCTTTTTGCATGTCGTGAGAGCTCCGAAAGTTGATAATAAAAAAAAATAAGACTTTTCTTTCCATTTCTGACTTCTCTTCGAGCCATCTTTTGGACTTCATATCTTTCTTGATTCTTCACGGTTTCACTTTATTCTTTCGCCATTCTCTTCACCTCACTTTCTACTTCGTCCTACACTACCTCGCTTTCTCACTTCTTCGTGTAATGGGCGGTTTCGGTATGTCAAAAGTTCTCCTAACTTCGAAAATTCCGAAACATTCATCTTTTGTTTATTTCTCCTCCATCTTCCTCATTCTTCTACTTCTTCACTTAAAATTTAGGGCCAAAATATAATTTTTTTAACTTTTTCCGTTTCAAATCTGACAACAAGGGCAAAATTGGTAGTAACTTAAATAATATAGGGGTACGCGTGAAAATAATAATCTTGAGGGGTCATTAAAAATCGTGACAAAGTATAGGGGTAAAAATGAAATAATCTCGCAACAATGACTATCCAATTTAGTTTCAACCCACAAAATCTCACAAAACACACAAATACACATTTTGGGATCAATCCAAAGAAAGTAGAGGGCCCATAATTTCATACCCCTTACAAAATGCACATGACACATCTTACCAGTCATTGCCTAATGGCCAACAATGGCGCATGAGAAAAGTAGAGAGAATAGAAAATTACCTCATAGCACGATAGAGTGGACGATACCACAATACATAGGCCCCTGGAACCCCTGATATGAAGTAGATGATAGCAAGAAACCAAATTGTTGGACCTACAAGACAAGAAAAATTAAGAATGGCATACATATGATAGTGACATGTCATAAAGAGGTTTAGGTCATACAAAGTAGCTCCAAACCAACCTTCTCCTTTGATCCAGGCCAGGGTAACTGCTATAATATTCCATAGAAGGCACACTACCAGGCCTGCAAATGTAATGCAGTTAAAAGAACTCAACTCACTAAGTGGTTTCTTGTTAGAACTTTTTAATAATAAAAAAGACCTAAGAAGCACGAACACTTCTAAGAAGGTGACGTATTCGTGTCGTGTCCGTGTCCGACATCGACACTCTTTGGACACTCTTAGGACACGTATTCGACACTCTTCAAAGCGTGTCCTATTTTTTAAATTTTTTTAAAGACCCGAACACTCTTTGGACACTTGGAGAACACATGTGTCAATTGCTTAAACACACGTGTCTATCGATTAAACACATGTGAAACTAATTATAAGTTTGACAAAAACAACTTAAGATGCAATAATAAAACAAAACCCCTACAAATTTATAGGAATTAGTGTCATATTGCATTTTTTATTATCTTTGAATAATATATTTATATATATAACATATAATAAATATATAAAATTATATATTTCATGTGTGTCCCCCACATGTCGTGTCCTGTATTTGTTGAAAATTAACATGTCAGCGTGTCCGTATTCGTGTCGTATCTGTGTCATGTCACATGTTTGTATCCATGCTTCTTAAGAAAAGACTAAAAGCAATGTAGTAAACGAAATACACGTCAAGCCAACTCCAGAAGAGTCATCCTAATTAGTTGAACACAAGATTCATATTGGCAACAAAAATATCAACTAAAGATGGCATGCTTTTCAAGGGCACATAGGAAAAGTATACCAGTTGAGTAGTCCAAAATATAAGATGGTAATGCACCAATGTCTTTAACTTTTATTTCACATCAATTTTTTGACGTCATTTTAAAATTATTGCCATAAAAAAAGGGGAAATAGCACTCCAATGTACACTTCAAAAATATTTTCAAACAAGTGGTATTCATTATAAACTTTAATATGTAAATTCATATATTTTTCATGATTTTGTAATTTATTTTAAAAAAAATCACTAACAAGTATTTTCCCCTTAAAAAAAAAAAACACTAAATTACACTCATCTCCTATAAGGTTTGAAGAAAATACAGTTAGTCCAACAATTTTGACATAATTCCATTAGTCTCTCTTAGAGGTTTTAATTCATATGCCAGTTAGGTCTTTTTTCATCAGTAATTTGTCAGTCATATGAATAAAAAATTGATGTTATCATCTATTTTCAACTAAAATGTATGTTTGTCTTTATTTTCAATATCTATCCACCATCTGCATTAGTTTCAGTGTCATACTAAAAAAGGAAGTCAGTATAATTATGTTAAAAGTACGGAATTAACTGTATTTTTCCTAAACCTCAAGGGAGGTAAGCATAATTTACCCCAAAAAATATCTCCAAAATCAGGAGACTTGCAGTAATTTCATTGTAATACAAGGTTTTGCATAGAACATGTAGTTGAGGTAGACGAACTAAGCCCCTCCCCCAAAAAAGCCACAGAGAGAGAGAGGGTATGTAATTTCATATATTTTTTTCTTTTGGAAAAAAATAAAATAAAATAAAATAAAATCACAAAAAATAGTAGTAACAATGACCTTATCAATAGGTCCTTAGTGTGGGCTAGATTAAAGGGAGCAAAAAAAATGTGGTGAACAAAAAAAATGTGGTGAACAAGAATGCAAGAAGCAAACAGAATGTAGAGGCAAAGGTCAAGCGGCAACAAGGAATGGGACAAAGACTCTTCTATAAACAAATTCATTCAGACGGGTTATTAGAAACTCTTTTCTGTGAAATTCCATCACCATCAGTAGGGAGACGACAAACGCAGCCACGTATGAATAATTTATGAGTGCTTATGAAAAAACAAAAACAAGAAAAAGAAAATAAACTTGCTTTTGCTTTTAAAAAAAAATACTTCTAGAGGACTCTTGTATATAAAATACAAAAACTGAAAGTCAATAATGATTCTATACAGATTCTGCACTCTTTTTACAATGCTACATCAGTTTCTACTTGTGAGATTCCTAGAAGACTTGAGTGAGCCTCTTCAATCCTTTTTATGCTTGTTGAATTTTGATTTTAGTTCCAGCACACGTCGCATAATCCTACTATGGTAATTAACCTTTCAATAGTCCTTTTCTTCACAATAAAACTCTTAATTACTAAATACTAACCCTAGTTTAGCCCTCCATTCCAGAAAACAAAATTACATTTCCTTTGCAGTCAGAAAATTTTCAGCAAGCTTTTTCTTTCATCCCATCCAAGAGGAACTGAGAAGAAAATGTGTTCACTTTGGCATCTAGGCATTCTTAAAACTGAACCTAAATGCCAAAAAAAAAAAATAGTTGAAGTTGACATACCCAACAACGTCGTGAATGCAACATACTGCACCTTCTGTAAATGGATTGGAATTTCATTTGTAATATCATGATGAATGATTGGAAAGAATGGTGGCCAATTTTTGTCCTCTATAATGACTCCAGCTGCCAAACAAAAGGTGCAAGTTATGCTATATATTACAGGATTGCAAATCAACCTATTTGATTCCTTCATATACAAACTTTTAAGACAATAGCACTACCTCGTGCCGCAGCATCCTCCCTCCTTTTCAATTCCTATCATAAAAATTGATAATTGATTACCACAAGGATGGATTATGCTTGGAAGTGAACAAAAAGAAAATGTAATATTTATGCCACATGGAGCACTTATGGTGTCCAAATGGAAAACGTTTGAGACCCCAAAAAATGCTTCCCTAATTTGACCCACAATGATGTGGCATAATAGGTGTCAACTTTTGATTTGTCACAAACTCAAGTACGTCAGCCCAACTCCATTGCCACATCATTTTGGGTGAATTTGGGGTCTCTAGCATTTCTCGTGTCCAAATATAGAACAAGAATGTGAGAGATCTACATGGAATCCAATCCACAACAAAAACATAGAAAAAAACGCTAGGTTTATTTCTTTTTCTTTCTTTCTTTCTTCTTTTTTTTTTTTTTTTTTTTTGACCACCTACTCACTATGGACTAGCAGCTAAGAATTTTTGTTTGCCAGCTAAAATCTATGACTGACAGCACCTCCACTATAAATATAGAGATCTCTCAAATCAAACCACGATTACATGCAAACTCAAAAGAAATCAGAAAAAATAAAAATTAAATTTTAAAGTGTAGTGTATCAGACTTATTTTAAGAAGATCATATACAGCAGCTACAATGTAAATCAGTATAAGCAAGCACCTGCTCCCTCTTCCTCAATTCAGCCTCTTTAGCTTGGAGTTCCTTCTCCTTCTTTTTCAAATCCTAGATTCCAGCATAGGTTAATTAAATTAGCAAAGTCCATTGTCCTACAAACAAAAAAAGAGTAAATTTGCAAGCATGCAATCCACTATCTTTGGAACTTTAATTTACCTTTGCACTATCAAGAGGGATATCAACAGTGGCACCACGATCATAGTCAGCAGGTTCAGGAGGAAGCGGTGAAAGCCTTGAGTTTGTAGCAGGGGGAACACTTCCAGGATTCTGGTTATCTCAGAAAGAACAAAATTTAGTAAACCACAAGCAAGAGAATACATGATCATGTATAAAGAACAAGTTTCCTATGCAACCACAATTGCCTCTTAAATGCACAATCTATGTTACCTGGAACATGGATAATTCCAATATGTGGAACGGGAACGCAATACGCCACATAATTGTGGTGTGATGTATACTTGTATAGTTTTTACACTAAGAATTTAAGGTACTTCTAATCTAGAGTAATTTTTTTTAACAATTAGACATCCAATAAAATGTTCTTTTTTCAAATTGATCATACAGGTTGACATTTTTATGAGTATTGTGACCCATTTTTGACGTTTTGTTATGCCAAAACTTCACTCGCCTTAGATTTTAGTTCATAATATTTGATAAAAGGAAATATACTGGAAAAAACATTTGGGATCACTTTGGATCGCTAAATTTAGCTTTTTAGAATGCAAGTATACCATATTTTGGAACATGTGTTCCAAAATGTAATTTGCTAGGTTATCAGTGTTTTTTGGTAACATTGTGCACAATGTTGCTTAAGAACAAAGCAGTAAGTTAACCAAAGTTAACTAAACACAGACAATTATGACAATGAGAGAGCATTTTGCCGGGAAAAATAAATCACGTAGACCATACAAGACAAAATAAGCACGTAAGAAAAATATTACGGAGCATTTGGTTCAAGAAATAATAATAATTAAATTAGCAGTCAGATTTGAATCTGAGATGTCTTATTCCAATGTCAGGTTAAAAGTGTACCCAGCATTGTTGACCAGGATTCCATCAGAAATCCTTTTTCTTTTTTTTCGAGTATAAGAATAATATAGAAAGAAGCACCAAGGGAGTGTAACCCATATACAAAAAGGAGAGCCAACTATACACCAAAAACCAATTCAAAGTCCTTCACAAAAAGTGTTTAAAAAAAAAAAAGAGCTTTTGTGACAAAAAGAACTTGAATAATCTTCATAGCACAAAGGCATCACATACAATACTTGCTAAAAAGGGTTGATAAGCAGAAAATCAAAAACAGGAAACTAAAAAGAACCACACTACCTACTCATCCACCGTCATCACCACCTTTAGTGACCTACCTCCACAGCAAATGCCTCCACATTGAACGGTACAAACTATTCCCATTACCTAGCACTGTTCATAACCAGACACCAGTATTACTACCACTACTTTAACAATATATTGCCACCTCAACTACCTCAAAGGCTCAATTAAGAACATTATGTTTGCCAACACTGCTTCTATCACCCATAAGTTAACAACTGCCATAGCCACCGCCACTTCATTATGTCCACAACTCATCACCACAATGGGCACCAATGCCACCTCCAACACCAAGGAAAATCCAGAATTGACACCAATAAGTTTACTGCAACCAATCACACCATACATAATTAATGATTTCACTGCTACGATCCCACCACAACCACAACCATTGGCTAGCCATTACTACTACCATTACCATCACAATTAACAGAAGATGACCACCTCCGAAACATAGTCAATACAAACCAACCACCATTTCATTCAATCCTAGGACTCCACGCCATCACCAACACCTTTGATGATTGATGACTGCCATAGCCCTAATCACCTTGCCATCAATTTTCGCAAACTATTATTACCATCTTACTAGTGCCAACACCTAAGTAACATAGACATGGACACACAACACGACACAACACAAACACGCTGACACGGCAATTTCAAAAATGCAGGGCACAATATGCATGGGACACAATCAAATTTTATATTTTTATAAATTTATTATATGCCAAATATATGAATATTTTATTCAAAGGTAATGAAAAAATAAAAAAGAAAGTAAGATAATAATGATTAAAATTAAAAGGCCATAAATTCCAAATGTCAAACATGAAGATATCATTCATGTAACAATTGCATTTAAAGAATGAAAAATAATAGTAAATACATTGAAATGTACATGATATGTTCATCTTATAAATGTTTTAAAACATATCTAGAGTGCACAAGTTATAACATTGTTTACTACGATAAGATTCATCACATAAGTCGCATTTGAAGGGTTCAAAAAGTGTCACCAAAATGTCTACAAAGTGTAAAGTGTATGATATTATAAATTTAAAATTTTAATTAAGACATGTCGAAGAAGTGTCTAACATGCTTCAGGAGTGTCTACAGAGTGTCTGTAGAGTGTCAGTGTCCAACACAGCATGCTGCCTCCATGAAAGTGTCTGTGCTTCTTAGGCCAACACCATCTAATGTATAAAAAAGTAAAACCATAGCCTCTCCATTCCACAAAGTCATCACCTTTAGGAGCCACAATAACTAAAACTTTTAACACTCACCACAAACTTGTTATCAGCATCATCACGACCATTGTCACCACCACTATGGCCTAATCATTGCCAACAATGCTCCATCCTAATTTTAAAAGAAGTTCACCTCTCCTGACACCTCATCAAAAGCTATATATTTATGTACCTTCATATTAGATTTTTCCATGTACTTTTTGACTATCCTCCTCTTCCATTGTCTTTAATCAAAGCACCTCAAAATCTTTCCACTAATACCATAATTATTTTCTTGAGAAAAATGTAGCCCCATAACAAAGCTCCTTGTCAAATTTGCCTGCTTACAATCCAATACTTCCAAGACTTTTCTACTTTACACCATAATAATTTCTTCAAAGCAAACTTGTGAACAGACTCATCTTTGTTGCTTCCCTTTGATAAGTGGTTATCTACAAAAAATCAAACCCTATAACCTAAGAAGCATGGACATAGACATGGACATGTGACACAACATGGACACGCCAACACGTAAATTTTCAAATTATGTAAGACGCGACACATGGGAAACACATGCAAAATATATAATTTTATATATTTATTATATGTCATATATAAGGATAAATAATTATTATATATCATATATATGAATATTTATACCCAAGACAATAGTAGAATAGGTATTAATTTGCATTATTTTTGTTTTATCATTGGATTCCAAGTTATTTTATTCAAAGTTATAATATATTTCATGTGTATCTAAGTGATGGGAAGTGTCTGAAGAGGGTTGTGCCGTGTTAGTCTTGGACACGGTGTCAAACACAACAAGTTGCCTTCTTACAAGTGTTCGTGCTTCTTAGCCTATATTCAAAGGCATACTTCTATGTATCAAATATGCACTCACCCACTTTTCAATATGTTCAACCAACATCATATCCTCTTCTAGTGATATAAATGTGTATAATATTATCTAGAACGTTACACATCTCACAACAATTAAACATCAATCAAACTTGTTGAACATTTCAAAAGTGGCTCTCAAACAAATACAAGTTGATGAAAATATAGTCATTAATAAAAAATAAGTACCACAAAGACAATCATAGAAATACTTTTGACAATTCCAAAGAGGCAATCATATATATAAAGATAAAAATTGGTTAATAGTTCAAATGATAACACCAATAAAATGGAAATGATGACTTTCTGGAGATAGTTCAATCATTTCAACAAGAAGCTAAGGGATGGATTATAATGATACTCTGTTTTCCAATGAAAACATTAAGGTACTTTCTAATTGTGCCCAAAAATATGAATGGAGCAATTTAGAATCAATTAATTCACGAATTAGATAAGTATATGGTGCTTGGTCATGAAAAAAAAATGAAATAACTAAAAAATGTACAAATTTGCTTTTTTTATGGAAACTTTACATTTGATCATTTATTTTAAGAGATAGGAAACCTAATGTAAAATTGAAGGATTTGAAAAAAGTTTTGGTTAACGCATACAAAAAACTTGAATTGGTTCATTTAAGAATTAACAAGCTTTGAATTAGCTAATTCAAAAAAAGGATTTCGTTTGCACAACACAGACAAGCTCCAAAAACTTGATTTGATTCTATGACTAGGAAAAATGGCACAATATCCTCAACAAATCTAAATTTATGCTTAGAATTTAGATACCAATTTCACGGTCAAGGTGAACTCGAAAGCTAGAGATCAAAATGATAGCTTCTAAGCCATCCAAAACTTTAGAAAGCATATATGATTTTTTTTAGTTGAAAAATCTTGCAGGTAGCTGTTACACTGCTTTCCTACTGTATATATAAGTAAGATCACTATATGTGTGACATTCTTTGTGTCCTTTACTATTTAAACTTGATAGCTTGGACTATTGTCCACATAGACAACATACTGCGCATTTTGTTCATAAGATCCTTCATCCTAATTGTTGGCATTATAATCTTACAACCAAAAGTTTCCACACAATTTCAACTTTTTTGTCATCAACAAGTCAACAATAGTATTCCTCACAGCCTCACGCAAACATGATTATTTACAAATAAGCATACAGATTCACACACACACACACACACACACACAAAAAAAAAAGAGAGAGATATAGAATTGAACACATCATAGACATGAAAGGTTATAATCTTACTAACATAAAAGGATACAAGTTAAGAGTTAACATTTTCAATTAACCTAAGACTGAAATCATCTTGATTAGCAGTAGCCAGATGCTAATGAAGTTTCAAGAATCCCACACATGCATTTAACCATTAGGAATTAGTTCATTCTTAAGTCATAATTCTGTTATTTCAGGTATTTCTGTAAATTAGGTATAGAAGTATCACGTAATTAATTTTAGGTCAGTTTATATTTTGGTAATTATTTTTTTTGTTTTGGGATTTGATGTAGTACTTGCTGACCAACACTTCTCATGTGAGTTTTGATTGATAATTTTAGAACTTAACAGCATTTATGCTGTTAATGGAAGGAAATGGATCTTTTTCGATAACACTAAATATTTTTTTGAATGAAAATTATGAAGGAAACATATATTGTTTGACAAAAAATAATTTTTTGGGGATTGCATCCTCTTTAGAATCTTTTGCTGTTTGTATCGGAGAACTTCTGACTCATTGTACCCTTCTAGAATTTTTTTCTGCATCATTTGGAATTTCATGGGCGTTCTCTAAGGGGTTGTTTGGGATGATCTAAATAATTGCACCTTTTGACTTTGTATGAAATATGGGTTGGGTTTGAAGTGATGTATTAGAGATGTGATGTGACTTAAATAAAATGGTGTGACTTAAATAGGATAGTGACTTTTTAACTTTTTGACTTTTTTCAAACATGCCAAACCAAGCCTAAATATATATAACAAAAAATTATAGAATGTTAATCATTGGATTAAATAGACAACAAAGATAGGAACAACCATCTACATACTTATCTTCTACTACATAGGCTTTCATGTTAATCAATATGGAAATAAGTCCATGTGTAGGTTTAAATGTTATCTCAATACACAATTAACTCAACATCGATGTATTTATACACGCACTATTCTAAGGACATGTAGCAGAGGAAAAAGAAGTATGCTTTTCCATAAAGTGTTCCAACAAAACAAACTAGCTTAGTCTCAGTTTTTCCAAAAAAATGGAGTATAATTTTAAATTAAAATTAACTACAAAAATCAAGGAAAAATTAGCTTACTGTCATATAAAATGCACCTCCACCATAGTTTGATTGTCCTGAACCTTTCCCTCGACCAGCTTGGTCCTGACATTAATCATAATGCAGTTACATATAAATGCAAACTATTAAAAAAGTACATTCCTCACTTCATGTGAATAAGGAGAAGAACAAAATACCAAAGTAACATATCAAACCCAACATTTAAATTTTGAACAATAGATCACCAAAATATTAGGCTCCATACAATCACTAGAGGATAAACATTTGCAGATTTGGTGATCTTATATAACTAACAAAGTCCTATTTGCTTTTCAAAGATAAAGCAAAAGTAAACAAAGTCTTACTTACTAGCACCAGGAATAAATGTTGGGGGAGTGACATGGATGAGAAAACTAAGTGTGGGGACAAATAGCCGTGATCAACAATAGTTGTTCACATTTGAGACTCTGATTGACCACATATGAAGAATAAAAAAAAAAAATTTAAAAAAAATTGACTGAAGAACTTGGAAGAATCTGGGATATGTATACAACACACAACTTGTGCAAGAAAATCCATGAGCTGCCTTTTTCACACTCTTGTCTGTTTTTGTTTTGTATTCCCAGCTATGACTCACATACTTGGCACATGAGAGCCAGAGATCAGATCAGAGAGCCTCTCCCAATGTCAACTGGTCCACTGTCCCCCTAGTTAACTATCTCTCTCTGTTCTCTTTCTCATCAAGTTGATTACATCAAGCTCTTCAATTCCACATAAAAAGAACACTTACAATCCAAACTATCTATTATAAAGTAACTTATATTGTACCACCAAATGGTAAGAAGAATATATGATATGTTCATTCTGGAATAAAAACCTCAACATGACTTTATAAATGAGGTAACACCAAGATGGTGTCATCTCCTTATAATAGCATAGCATACAAATATATGGGTAAATTACACTGATCTCCCCTAAGGTTTGGAGAAAATACAGTAAGCCCCACAAGTTTAGCATAATTACACTGGGTTCCCTTAAGGTTTTAATTCATACAAAACTTGGCCCCCTTTTTATCAGAAATTCAATAGTCGCATGAATGAAAAAAATGGTGGTATCATCTATTTTACATTGAAATGTATATTTTACCTTGTGTGTGTTTGTAATTTCATACCATCTACATTAATTTTGGTCTTTTTTACCTTACTAAAAAGGATGTCAGTGTGATTATGTCAAAACTATGAGATTTGCTATATTCTCTCCAAACTTCTAGGGAGGTCAGTGCAAATTACCCTCTATGTATTTATGTAAACTGTAAATTACCCTATATATATTTACAGTAAACATACATATATGTCTACACATACACTACACCGTTTCTTCTTTAAGCAAAAGTCAACCCACAAGATAACACAACTTGCCTACATCATAATACAGGTAAATGAACAATTCCACTTTCAAAGGCAGACTATCAACAACCAGGAGAACTCAGAAACAAACAATCCATACTTTGAAGTTGCTTCCCTACCTCCAAAAAATTATATCCTCAGTATAGTAAGTAAGTAGCTCCGTCTACAGAAATAACTTAAATTTCTCCCAATAAAAAACAGCACTAAAACAATTACAAAATTTTCATTCAACTCCATTTGGCTACTGATGAAGCAAGGAAAAGAGAAGAAAAGAATGATCATGTTTTTTAAGTTCCAAAAAAAAACAAAAAATTCTAAACCTCAGTTCAATCACACAGAACAATTCAACCAGGCTCGTTTGCTGGAGATTATTTACTTCCCAATTCCTTGATTGGAAACTTCTAAAATTCAATTTCCAACTTTTGTTTCTTTTCATTGTTTTCCTGTAGGTTTAAATGTTATCTCAATACACAATTAACTAATATGATAGTTTTAATTAAAAAGAAAGAGACAATTGGGAAGCCATTCAAATCAGCCACAACAAGAGTTTCAATTCACAGACAAAATCAATCCAATACACAGATCTGGCAATTCAAACAACCAAATCAACCATAAAAAAGTCTAATCAAATGCATATAGCAAATTTTTAAAATGTCCATAAACCAAGAATACTTCAAACCATCAAATCTAAGTCAAAAGAATATACATAGCACTGCAAAAGCACACGTAAAAGTATTCTAGTTTTTAAATTTTCCCTTTAACACCTACATTGTACATAAATAGGTATATACATAATTATCTCGAACTTACTGAAAATGGATTCACTTCCTCCTCGTCGAAAGGATTAGAATCGAAACGACCGGCCATGAATCAGAATCAGAAAATGTACTAGTTCTTTGATTTGAAGCACCAAAAATGGCACAAAACCAGAGATCTGGAGATCTGAATCGTGGGGCCAAATGAATCTGGAAAAAGATGTTATTAAAGCTTTTCGATTGGGTGGAAACGAAGAAAACGTGAGGGAGACGTAGGGTACCACTTTCTCTTTCGTAATTTTTTTTTTCCAATGTTGTGTTTGTTTCGAAAGAAAATTGAAAACCACGAAGGAAACTATTCGCGGGTTAACAGTAGATGTGGGGAAATATGTTTTTTGTGATTTTTGTCCTAAAACTCGGTTGAGTCAACTTGCGGTGACTCGGTGGAATTTTGTAGGTAAAGGGAGTCTTTGTTTGTGATGTGAATTGATTTTTTTTTTTTTTTTTTTTTTTTTTTTTTTTTTGACTCTTTAGTTATTTTAAGAGCAATTTAGGTCTTGTTTGGCAAGTGACTTTTTCAGTTAAAAAATCAAAAAATCATTAAAAAAATTAAAAAGTCAACAATTCATACCAAAAAATCAAAGACTCTCTTTTCTCTCTTGTTTTTCCACATCTTTTCGTAAAAAGTCAAAAAGTCATCCTGAACATACTAGTTTTTTTTAGCTCATATTTTAACTAAATCGTTAAAAAGTTACTAAATTAGCATGTTTCCAAATGAGACATTAGAAATTTATTTAAAAAGTTAATTTTTTTTACTTTTTATTTTTTTATACAAAAAAGTCATCAAAAAATTAGCTTTTTATTGACTTCCCAAAATATTATAGCCTGAGACTAAAAAGTTTCGTTTGGGATGTGTTTTTTTTTCACTTTTTTTTATTTCTATGAGAGAAAAAATAAAATGATTATTATTTAAATATGATATTTTATCTTATTAAATTAAAACACTTATTTTATATTTTTGGGACAAAAATAGTTACAACTTAACCAAAACTTTCATGCCAAACAAACCCAAAGTGGGTAGTATTATGCTTCATTACAAGTGGGTAGAGTGGTGTATGACAAAAAAAAACATAAACATAAATAAATATATAGAAGGTAAATTAAATTGACATGCCAAGATCTAGAAAAGTATATAATAAGAATTATAAATTTTATATAATTATAACGATTTTTATTTTAGAAGGGGTTAAAATAATTGGAGTTAATACATGTGATTTGTAGAGACAAGAATAAAATATATATTTTAATGTAGCATGGGTAATGATATAATTTGAGTAAATTATACTGACATAGTAATATTTGGCTCCTTTCACGTTTAAATTTGTATACATGGATGATGATATAATTTATAGTTCATTAGATAAATTGATATAGAAATGATGTTATCATCTCTTTTACAATAACATGTATATTTTTTCTTGTTTATTCTTGTTTTTTTCACACCATTTGTATTAATTTTGCTCCATGTTTCTTTATTAAAAAGAGGTTAGTCTAATTATACCAAAACTATGGGGTTTGTTGTATTTTTTTTCAAATCTCAAGAGGAAATTGGTGTAATTTACTCATATAATTTTGTATTCGTACAACTAACGAATTATTGATAGAAATAGAGTTGAGTATTATATAAATTAAAATTAAAAAAAAATTCAACATAATTATATCAAACTTATAAACTTTATATATTCTTTTCAAACCTCAAAAAAAAAAATGGCATAATTTACCCAAAAAAATAAATAAAAGACAGATTAGTGTCAATCTCCTACGATACGAATTTAGTATAATTAACTAGTTCAATCTAATTATTATGTAAATATTAACATCACTCCACCCCAATAATATTTTGTCCCTTTAATATATTTGTTTAAATGCATATATAATACTTATCACTCTAAATTCTCAATTTGTATCAATGTGAGCATGACAATAAAGATCTTTCCCTTTCTCTCTTTTCTTCCATCCACATCAACAACCATGATTTCTTATAATATGGTTGTTATCGTGGGCAAAATGTTATTCGAAGGTTTTTATGATATTTAATATGTCATGTGTAAGGTATATATTTATTTTTCATATAAGCGAAAAGTTACATTGATACAAATTAATAGTTTAAAGTGACAAAATCCATTACTTTTAGTTGAATGTGGTAAACTAATGTTGAGTGACAGTTTAAAAGAGTAAAGTGTAATTTACCTTGTAATTAGTCTATTTTATTTTGGGTGTTGCTACTAGAACCCCAAATGCTCCTTTAGTCATGAGTGGTTTTATTTGTACACCATTACACACCATTTGTTTGTTTATTTATTTATTTATTTATTTTGTATCATTCAAGAAAATTACACTTTTGGACAATACTCTGCACACCACACTTTTTACTAACCACCACTATCGCCACTACCAACCACTATTACTACCACCTCCGGCATCGCTTTGCCACCCCTAACTTTTTCTCATTATATTCCAGTCATTATCCTTTCTACCTTAGCTTCTTCTGACCACCCCCTCCTCAGATGTCCTCTTCATGTTCTCTCCATCATTTTTCTTCTTTATAAAATCTAAAAACCCTAAAAAGGGGGATCTTTCGCTCTATCTCGCTCTCTCTCTTCTCTCTCTCTCTCTCTCTCAGTGATTGATCACTCTCAATTGATCAATCAAATCACTTGCATGCTCATCTGCAAGGCCGTAGTGAAGGAAACAAGGGGATGGGCCATAATGGAAAGGGATTGAGAGGACCGAATAGAAGGTGTCAATAGAGGGAGAAAAGAAGGAAGGACTACGGAGGTGGATTGTAAAGGTGGCGGTAGTAGGAAATTTATTGTTGTAGCAGTAGTGATGGGACCAAAACAAGAACGTGAGTAGTAATGGCTGTGTAAAGAGGCTAAGAAAGGTGAGACAATAGAGAGAGAAACTAGCGATGAGGTGGAAGATGGGCTGAGAAAGGGCAACGATTGATGGCAACGGTGGTGGGTGATGCAATTAGGGTAAAGGTATTAGTTTTGAGGAGATAAGGACATTTTGGTATTATTTGAAAGATTATGGTGTGAATTGAGAAGAAAAAAAAAATAAAAAGTGAAATGATATGTAATGTGTACTAAGTAAATCATATATACTGAGACAATAGATGGTGTGCAAATATAATTTATTTTTGGTTATATATCCATAATTTTTATTTATTAGAATTTTACCTATTCATAAAATTCCATTTTGAGCCCCATCTGTTAATTACCTCCCAAACCCTAACATTAACCCTGCATCCACCCATATACCACAACAGCTCTAGCCATTTCCACAACTTCGGCCACCCACCTTAGCTCCTCTTTACCCTTTCCATTTTCGCAACCCTCACTAGTAATCCTGTGACGCCCTGATTCTACACCATTGGTTGCAGTCAAGGGAGAGTCACTAATCAGTCCTATGGTCAATAACCAGTAAGATCCCAGATCGTCGGAGGAGTCAGATTAGCCTCCCTTCTAAGTCCAGCTTTCTTAGGCAGCGCACTACCCTTTTGGCAGATCTTAAAAGGTATTGACACAAGGTCTCATAAGCAACGATAAGGTTCATACATGTAAATATTAAAGTATAAGTACATAACAACCACGAATATCCTTAATTTCAAAAGCTTGTTCTATTACATTACATCCCAAAAGAAGCTTAAATCTTTACACGAGGCTTACAAAATATCCAAAAAGAAACTTCTAATTTTTTTCTAGGATAACCAAAAGTCTTCAAAAGTTTCGGGCTCATCATCTCCAGCTATGAGTTCCGCTTCGTCACCTGGCATGATACGCCATGAGCTTTGAATGCCCAGTAAACACACACACACCCTACTCCTTTTTCCCAGTCCAATACACAATCACAATTATAACATCAAGTAATAAAGCATGATACTTTAATAAATAAATGAAGGGTTAAGTTAGATGTTAGCAACTAGAAATCCCCCAAAGAGATTTCGTCCTCCAAACCACAAGAATCGGACGCAGATTATTCGGTATGCCCCCTCTTTTACTGCTTTGTTGCAGACCTAACCCCAGATGCCTACCAACGGTTATGTACCGTGTAGCGCCAACCGCAGGGCCTCAAAAGAGACGGTAAAATAGGGCCTTGCCCAAAATCCCTCCTTACACTAAACCACCTAGGGTCCGAATACAACCGCTCCGTTCAAGGATTCAGAAAACCACTTGTGCAAGACTTTAACTTTCAAATAGGGAACGCATCCCAACAATCCATATATCACATTTCTCATCTTTTCATTACTCAAGTGCTCGAAAACCCAATACCCTCCCAATTAGGTTTCCCGTTGAGTTAAATATTTTACATCAAGGTTAGACAACTTAACAAGATAAAAATATCTACACAAGCATGCATCAACAAGGTGAAGAAGATGAAGAACATAACATAACACATACAATATCATGCCAAGATATGATCATAAGCTAATAAACATTTTCATGAATACAAGGGCATAAAACATCCATAAATAACAAAATTTCCAGATTTAATATCACATAAAGATTAAAATGAAAGGACTATTTTGGATCCTTCACCAGACTTGGCCTTCCTATGATTCGCAGAGAATTTGATCTAGTTTCTAGTACATTTTTCAGAAATGGGAATGCTTTTCCAGATTTTAAGTTATTTAGAGAATATTCCAGCGCTGTCCAGATTCTGTCCAGATCTGTCGACTGTTACGAAAATTTGATTTTCTTGCAAATTGCTTAATGTTTTTCGATGAAAAAAATTTTAGTTGAAAGCTAACACCTTAAGGAAGGTTTTGACATAAAATAGAGGTCCAGAATAATTTTATACATTTTTCTAGAATTTCTGGAAGTGGGCTGCAAAAACAGATTCTAAAGTACCATGCCCCAAACAAGAAGTTTTATGAGGAAAGGGTTTCTCCAAGGGAAAGTTTTTGTTTATTTTGTGAAAAAACATGCTAACTAACCTATATTTAACTCAGAAAATTTGCTTGAAAGAGTGCCTTTGGAAAGTTGAGAGATTAGTATAAAAAAAGATAGTTTTGTGCCAAAATGGGGAAAATACAAGAGAGATGGAATCAATACTCAACCCTTAGCATTTTTAACATAAGAACTCATTAATAACAGATCTGAAAACATCATTTAGAACCCTTAGAAACATGTATTGAAAAAAAAAATGAAAGAGAAGGTTGTGTTTGTGGCTTACCTACTAAGCTTTGCACAAGAAGGCTCTCTTCTTCCTTCCTCTTCTTCTCTAGACTTCTCTCTCTTGCTCTCCTCCCTCTCTCTAGCCAAAAGTGTGTGTGTGGGTGTGGTGTT